TCGGAAACATGTTGAAGTCGCTCTGCGTTGGAATCCGAACCAAACTGGGCCAGACACTCCGATATGCTTCTGACAGCGATTTTCTGCGAGCTGCGATAAAGGAGGACGATATCGTTAATATTGTGGTCCGTCAAACCGAAGGCCAATTGCACATCAAAGCTAATTTCACAGCTTGTCTCGTCAAAGTGTAACTTCGGACGAAAATGGATTGCCAAAATATGAAAACACAGAAAAACAAGCAAATCTGAATCTGATGCTTCCGCGTGTGCCTTTAAATGAGGTCAGACATGCTCTTTGTGTACGGAGATGTTCGCCAAGCAACTGTTTGTGGGATCTTATTGGAGATTCTTGCTTCCTTTCTCCTCGACTCGTTCTGTCTCATGCATCGCCATGCAAAGTGTTTAGGGTGTGCGTTTTCCAAAAGCAATTTACATAAGTAATTTAGTGCAACTCGACAGCCTTCTTTGCCAAAACAATGTGTTTTTGCTCGATTAAGGAGACTGTTGACAGAGCTCCGTTTTTGAGAGATTGGCTGAAAACTCTCATAAGGTAGATTGACTTCATGTTTGGGGTGTTTGCATTCCCAAAACAAGAGCCAGCCAATCACCGTTGTCCCTTATCCTTCCTTATCACGTCGTCAACACGCTGTCAGCATGATGATAGTGTAACGCTCCTCGACTCGAACAGAATTGTTTGAATGTGTAAACAATTTCTTGGAGCGAGGACCTAGGGTGAAGATGGCGTAGTCGCGTGTCGGTGAAGATGGCCGGTGTCCCTTCCTCTCTCTTCCGCCGATCCCTTCTCCCTCACCGTAACGTAACGTTCGTACCGCTCGCCTTCTCGCTACATCGGCACCCCCTCGTCCCCTCCCTGCTGTTACCCCCAGCGCTGCGCTCCCCACCGGTTTACTAGCTGGCATGTTGACATCGCCTCTCCACCCAGACAGGTTATTCTACAGATTTAACCATCCTTCCTGTACTGTTAACGATTATTATACGCTTTCCCGTGCAATCTTGTCATATTACACTTTATCCCTTACCCGACATGTCTTCTTCTCCTGTTTATGGATGCGTATCGAGAGATGTTAACGGCTCTGTTCAGATCTACCTCTGCCAGGATTTCTTCTCAGCGTTTCCTTACTCTGGTGTGTGCTACCATTGACGTCCTCGGCCGCTACAATAGCATCTCGCCACTGGCTGCCCCCTAGAACCTGATTGGTCCGTGCATGCTGGGAAACGACCAGCTCGTTAAGAATCTTGTTCTCGATGCGCTTTCGACCGAATGCAGGTCAACACCAACAAGATGTAATAAATACGCGCTATTTTTTCCAGTAAGAACTACCTTCAGAATTTTGATACATTTATCGTGGTCTGTCGTGTTCTCCTTCTCCACCATGATGGTACTGGGGAGAGCAGTCGAGCACACATATGCTTCGCGTGACTTCTGAGTACCAGAAGGGTCATAACACTCCCGCATAATCTTCTTTTAGATAAACCGATATCCTAATGCTCCGTCGGTCTTTCCTTGCAAAAGAACATCAAGAAACTGGAGTTAACTGTCAGCTTCATTTTCAAATGGGAATTCCGGGAATAGTAGAGTTTATAGTGTTGTGGTGCGTTTCCAATCTGCTTATTTATGACAATAAATATACCGTCTATATATCGCAGCCACAATTTAGGTGGAGCAGCAGCACTTAGTTTTCGCATCACAATTTCGCCGAGGAAAGCAGATATGGGCGATTCCATAGGGGCTTCTTTCAGATGTTCAAAGTAGTATTGGTCGTACAAATTAATTTTCAAGCATTAGTCTTTGAATTAAAGCACTGCAGTTTACAAAAACGTACGCATCACAGGACATCAACGGTTCCTCTGTGCTATCTTCTGCTAGATCTGATGGTATGGAGGTGAAGAGGGTAGCGGCAACAAAGGAGGCCATTATTTCATAAGTGGAAGTTTTAATTCGTATTCATTTCTCTAGAAAATATGTTGACTTTAAATGAAAGTTTAACGATTCTTCGTAAGCTGGTGAAGCTGGCGGAGTAATCATTTTGAGATTTTATTTTCTGGGTGTCCTGATTAACGAAAATATCATCCGCAGTGGATCATCGGTTTTGAGAACTTTCGGCAATACCTCTAACTTCATAATAGACGGTTTAGTTTGTCTCAATGATAACGCCATATCTACTGTGAGTTTTGAATTTTTAAAGCGAATAACGCACATACTGATACATAGTTTCTGCACCGCTGGTGTACGCTGAACACGGTTATTCAGTGTACTTCTACCTGCATTTACAGGTGCGCCTAAACTTTAAAAATTCTCTGCACCATTTGGTTTGCCTAGGTTTTCATGTTAATATCACACCGTTTGTCCATTTCTAGTAAGACTTCCCTTCCAGTACTGAGATTTTTGGTGGGTGTCAAGTTGCTTTCCTTGGGTTTTCATGACCAAGATATTCCGCTCATTCCCTAATAAGTAACGAACACAAACGGAGTCCAAAGTCCTATGGCTGTTTCCCTTAAAACTGACCGAACTGACCATCAATCCTATCTATGGCTCTGTTTAGAATTACTTAGTGCCCGGTTTTGCTTTTGTCCCTTGCAGATACATTTTGAAAACTGGCTCCTGAATAACCAAATAACCACACACATACCTAGTCCTCTCTATGTGCTAGTCTGGTCTTGCATTTGTGCATCCAAAATCTCGCACCCGTTTTATTCATATCGATCTATGTTATGTCTTTACTGAGCTGAATTGAAGGCGGTCAAAAAGAGCCCGTCAGCTGCCTTTAGAGGTTTGCGTCTTGGCACCGCCCAATGAGTGGCACGGCGCAAAATTAGCAACTTTGTTGATATTTACTTTGGAGATTTACAGATACATACAGAGGTTAGTCGCATTTTAGTTAGAAACAGTTATCTGGATGTAAAGTGTAACCGGTTAGAACCGGAACCCGGCCACGGCCGTGGCCCCGCCATCAGTAACTACGGTTACTGATCTTATAAGATACCCATGTGATCGCGCTAGCGGGGATTTCGTTGGGAGTAACAAGAGTGTTTTTTGCACTTTCGGGAGACAGTCAATCATTTATGATAGTGGGCGCTCACCGATCAGGTTACGGAACATGCTCGTTCCGTTGTGCCTTGGGGCTCATACTAGAACAGACAGGACAACGGGCCCGTGGCTCAATGGTAGAGCGTCAAACTCCATGAAAAAAGGTACCGGGTTCGAATCTCAAGTGATCCACACTTGGGGTTGGGTATGACTGGCTGATGACGGCTAATAAGCCAGAAATGGCCATTCCGGTCTCCCTTGTCTTTGTCGGTACCACATGATTTACAGTCAATTATATTTGTAGTCTTCGGCAAGCACCTGTGTTTTTGGCTCCGCCCTGATCCATCCTTTCACCTGCACTGGCTTCTACCTAGTCCAGCATTAAAAATTTCCGATTTCTCAAATTTTGTGCAGCTGGGGACTTTTAGCCCATGGGCACAGCCTGCGGATGTGACTTGGCCAGCTGCCATACTCCAGCCACTAACGAACGGGCTACTGGGGCATTTTACCTGCAGTGACTGTTAGAAAGTCAGCCGGTCAGAAACTAACAGTAAAGACTAGTCCTGGGGGAACTTTGTGTTATCAGCGCCTCCAGTCTTCGTAAAAACATGTCCAACCCCTTTGAACGACGAAAGATGCGCTTTACAAGGCTGTTTACAGTGGGTTGGCAGACTTCAGTTAACCCAAAAGGCTGGCCGATTCTGTTCGAATTTTTCGGACTCCACGCGAAACCGTGGATCGTACCCGCCTGGATAGTGTATTTTTGTAAGACTCGCACAGTCTGTTCATCCATCTCCTAAGGCGACCACATTTCGAACTGAGTCCCCGAAGTGTTGTGCGGTTAACTGATAAGTAGCCATCGTCGTGGTAACTGGGTTAGGCTAATGACTCCCTCTCGCCATTTACTATCGTTTATCTGACTTACCTTTCTGTTGCATCACAGAAGACCTTTTTATGTGCAGAGTGGTAATTGTTGTTCTTCGGCACTTTGTATTCCCTGGCTTTAACTGCAGGAATATGTTCATTATGAGACACTTACCCCGTATGTCAGATTCTATCCGTCATCACTATCAGCGTTTTTAGGCATATGATTCGGGGTGATATATACCGTTGAATGGTTCACATCTTCCTTACATCCACAACTATTGCGCGTAGCGTCACCTTGTTTCTCCTCACACTGCACGTAAGCCTTCGAGTCTGTTTCACGCTGTTTGCAATTATAACATCGGGGATATACCAGTTTGCGGTGTGGTTCAACTTCTACATTCACTTGGCCTCCCTCTCGACACATCTCGTCCCGGTCGACGCGAGGTCACTATCCAGCATACTGTCGTACGTAGCTAGAGACAGTGTTGCACGCGATCTCGTGATTGTTGCCACACCCTGCACATTTACACGCAAATAGCTAATTTCACTAAACTTAAAGTCACTCACTGACTAAATTATGCCAGGAAGTGCAGAGACTTAGACTACCTGTTGTTTAGTGGGTGACATATTGTATACCTGCGTTTGTCAATGAGCATGCTAGTGGTATAGTAATAACCGGTTTTTTAGAGGAATAACGAAGCAATACCGTCTTGAACCGTTTAAGTTACTTGGTATGACCGTCTAACGAGTAAGCTACTGTCGCCTATCCTCATAGTGTTGTTAATTTAAATATGTTCAGTTTAGATTACCTGTTTTTAGGCGTTTTTACTGATTACCTTAGTCGATTACCGAGAGCTTGAGTCGACCTAAATATACCATCGTCTTAGTCTGTGGGGCACTGTCGTTGTGATACAGAATTGGTTATTGAATGCAGAACACTATTAACCTAATTGGCAAGTTACTCAGCAATGGGTGATGCCATCTGCTTGTGATAACCTCTGCTTCAAATCTCCCTCCTTCAATCGCATACGTCACTGTCGTTATAGGCAATATTTCCCAAAGGATATTCATAAAGGCAGACCGTCATGTACACAAGCATCGTACAGCTTGTTGCCAAATTAGCCAGAACAAAGTAAGTCATTTTTCATTTAAATGCCCGTGGAGGACCGAATATGACATAATTCCACATGTAGATAGTGAAGATCATGATCTCGTGCAGGAGATCGACGAATCCTTTGGTATTTGTTCTTGTGCCGCCTCTTCGTTCTGGAAAGTGAACTATGACAGACTAATATTTGAAGGAAGCCTGTCCATCGGTAGTACGACTTTTATCGCCTTTGCTAACTTTTAGATGTCTCCTACTTCCTTCTGCTGTTTGTCCCGTCCTGTCTTGTCGTCTGGAACAGACGGAAGTCTCTCGTTGAGAGCGGTTCCCTTTCTCAACTGGAGGAGTTAGCGTTCACAAGCCTTATACTCCGACGCCACCCTCGGGCAACAGAGCCCCTTCAGCAGAGGTGACTTTTGTTACTATGGATCGATTGTCTAGACAGTGGATAATGCAACACCTCATTTCTTCAGACGCCTTTGATTTGTCAACGGAAATCGACTTCTGTGAACTGCTGGCCGACAAGCACCGTTGCAACTACGCAGCCTGGGATTATCGACGATGGTTGCTTAAGAAATGTCTCGTACGTTCACCAACGGTATGTCTACCCTGGTCTCTCCCCGTTGTTTGTGATTGTCGCATGGGCTAGTTCAACATCTCTTCCTCTCTCACCCCTTATACCTGTGGCAAAGTTGCAACTGCTAGTTCCCACGTCCTCCAAGAGTTCCACTCTTGGTTGATCTGGCGCTAGTTCGTTGCTAGTGCTGGCTTATCGCAGGCATAGGCAAACGACCGCTGAGAAGTATCCGCCACGCAGTCTGTGCCCGAGTTAGTACGAATTATAGACTGTACGAGAACATCTAGTTGGGGTGCACGAGAGCACAAATGGGACCTGGACGTGTGTAGGCGGAGCTGCTGCGAACAGGCCTATGAAGACGACTTGGGCCTTGCTTATATTCTTAGTACCTAACACAGCTGCAATAGTTATGAGTCA